TTACCTGAATAAACATTTTATTTTATTTTATTCTTCACCAGAAAAGGAGGAGACGGCTGCAAACAAAGAAAAGACCACTAGGACCGAAAGAGCAGAAACTCCTGCACCAGAGGAGAGCATGAAACTCTCCAACCCAACCCCTGAGAGGCCAATGCCAACAAGAAAAGAGCCATAGAAAAACAGTCCTGAACCGAGGGGGCCACCCCAAACTGAGGAGAAGGGAGAAGAGAGCACCCGGTGCAACGAACAGGACAGCTCAGGCGACACATGAGCAAACCGGAGGTGAAAACAACGCCCGAGAAAGCTTGCGGAACAGAGCAGAAGTGACATCTACCCCAAATGCAAGCCACCAGCACCACTCGAAATGAGGCGACAGTATCTGGCACAAAAAGACGGTCCTGAAACAACCAAGAGAGAAAGGACAAAACAACCCAACCAGAAATCGAAGACAACCTTTAAATGATGTCTGTTTACAAGAGTCCTGATGAAGGTGAGGTGAACCCCGTGTATTCGCGGGCTATTTAAATCTTGCATAGTACTTCATCGCGTCATATGACGTGATGCGCAATTTATTGCAAGTTACTCAACACTGCATATGACATGTTGCGCAGTTTAAGGATAAATAACAGGAATTGATAAAATTGAGAGACCTGGAACTTTAAGAACAAGAGGTCATACATCTAAGCTAACTAAACACAGATGCCAAAGAAATATAAGAAAATTCACTTTCGCAAACAGAGAGGTAAATAATTGGAACACGTTAGGTGAGATGATGGTGGAGGCCAAGACCGTCAGTAGTTTTAAAGCTTTATATGACAAAGAGTGCTGGGAAGACGGGACACCATGAGCGTAGCTCTCATCCTGTAACTACACTTAAGTAATTACAAATGTAGATACTTATTTATAACGTGTATATATAGTGTAATAACGGCAAAAGGAGTGTTGGGAGAAGCCATTTTGGCGGGGAAGGTGGTATCATCTTCCTGACTTGTCATGCTGTGTAAGGGTGGCCACTATACTATTTGTGCACAATGCCAGCTTAGATGAACAGACATGGTGAACAAAACATGAAGATACTTATATATATAACATATGTATATAGTGAATAAAAGCAAAAAAGTTTGGTGGGAGAAGGAGGTTGACGAGTGAGGAGTTTTTGAGGGCGGGAGTTGCAGCGAGTGGCTGGCTGGCTGATATGCGGTGGCCACTTCTCTTTGTTTTTTGACTCACAATATCAACTTAGTGGTTGGTTATGGTGAACAAAACATGCAGATACTTATATATAACCTGTGTATATAGTGTAATAACCGCAAAAGTATTTGTTCATTGTTTTATGAACATAATAATTGAATCAAAAAATAATAATTTTGAGTACAGCGATGATTCACACATTTTATTATATAAATATATCACACTACACACTATTGAATAATATTACTGCAAAAAAACTAAGAAAAAATCAATCAGAGACATTGAAATAATTAGGTAATATTATCTGTGTGGCAACTCCCGCCTGACAACTGGGGCTGAGCAGACCGCCTTCGACGTTTGCTCTGTCAACACCTCTTTTCTGTGGAGAGCCCCTTCGGCTCCCCGGAGCTGATGTGTATATATATTAGACCATGGCAACAGTCAATCAAAGGAGTTTTAAGCCTACCAGGGACCAGAGCCAGAACCTGGCCCCCTCTAGAGAGGCACGAGGAGCCATGGCCTAAAGACACCCCCGTGTAATTGGAAGCAGTCTTTTTCTGCCATCTACTAGGTCAGGCACCTAGAAAGGTAGAAATTTCAAAACAAACTACTGCTGGTCAAAAATTACAAACCGAAAGCCAAACTAGCAAACTGAACTCCCCAATCAAACACAAGAAAACAAACATGGCATCACCACAACCACCACTCATCCGTCTGCACAACCCCCTCCCCCCACCTGGTTCCCCTCTCGGAGAGGGAGAGTGACGTGGGGGTCCCAGACCTCCACTCTGGCAACTTTCCTCAGTTCAAGAGGCTGTTGTGTTGGTGACGGTCGATCGCTCTGGCTCAACTTTTTGAGCAGTGCTGCAGTGCGGTGTTGTTGCTCTGTGTTAGTGGTGTGTGAGCCAGAAGTAACACAAGAGTACTGGGGCTTCATGCACCTAGGGCTACCTTCCCTAGGTGCCCTGTAAGTACTGCCTTTGCGGCATCAGGGTTATCTTCCATGAGCCGTTCAGGAGTAGCTACCTCTATGTGGTTCTGTCGCTGCTCGGTGCCACTCAAGAGTGCGGAACCAAGCCCACAACGAAAACACAGGCAAGAGGTTGCCTGAGCAACCCATCAACCAGGTAACAGGGCAATCAGCTAGCGAGGATGACTTCGGAACCTCACAATGAACCCCAGGAGGGACAGAAAAACCCAAACCGGTATGAAGACGGAATCATAATAAAGGCATAATCTGGGCCTCGCAGCATGCCCCGCTCCGAGGGTAGAAAACCCTAAGTGGGGTCCAACAGGGCCCAAGGCCCCCCAAGGCAACCCTGTCCTAGCCCCGGAAACCTCCACAGCAGGACCCCGGGCAGAGCCATTCCCCCAAAGCCTCGACCTCACAAGAATAAGCCGGGGCAACCTTTAAAACACTAAAAAAGGGGGGCCCCACTGGTCAAACCCATACGCAACGGCTGCAGGAACAGGCTCAAATGTCTCCATCACCACCCCAGAAGGGGCATCCCCCAAGACTGTCTGAATCTCAAACGCAACTAAACCCTGCACCGACCCCAAAACCTAGCATGCAACACCTGAGCTGCCTGCACCCGAAGATAAACATCAGTGGACAGGGTGAAATGAGTCGCTAACAAGCATCAAAACTCGCAGGACTCTGGGTCGAAAGTGTCACTGACCCAACAGGCAGCATGACGAAGGCAAAAATGGAGAGTCATCCTGAGACAAGGCAACAGAGCATCCCTCAAACTTGCACTAAGCAAGAGGGCACCCAGAGATTGCTTCTATCAGACCCAATGTGCCCCCACGGGATTTCCCAGGGTCCTTAGACTGGTATCGCTAAGGATAAGCCCAGGCAAGGTACTTTCTAACCGGTGCCCAAGACTACCAAGAGATCCAATAAAAGCTGCACCCCCAGGATGTGGCCACTCACAAGGACCTAGTTGAGGGACCACTAAGACTATGTTAACAACCTAACACAAGGGGCAGAACTTCCCCACCAAGCAGGGAAACAAAAACAAAAGAAAAACCCCACAAGAGGCCAAAGTACCCAGGCGGAACAAAGCCAGCTGCTATGAGAGGGAGGTGATAACTAGGTGTGCAGCACTCCGCGCTCTACCGGTGCAAATTACCCCTTCCCAAAGGCAAACAAGGGTGCAGAAAACCCCCCAGCACTAAGGGTGGTCGATCACCAAGCAGAGGTAAATTCCAAGGTGACTTGTGGAAGGTGACCCCAATCTCCAAGGACAGTATACTTATAGGGCACCTAGGGAAAACCCTAGGTACTTGCATCCTGAGTGCTTGAGAGATTACTCCTGGCTCACGCTCCACCAAAGACGACTTGCACCACACCACAAGGCACAGAAGTTAGTCCCAGAGTCACAACGACCTCAGCCATTCACATCAGCCAATGAACTGAGGGTGTGTATAGCCGGCATGAGGGGTCTGGGGCTCCCCCTTCCCCCTCCTGGGGAGAGAAAAGCTGCGCAGATGGTGGTGCGGCATGTGGTGATGTCATGCTCATTTTCAAATGGGGAGTTCTGTCCACTCGTTTGACTTTCAGTAGTAGTTTCAACCATAATAGGGGTTTATTTGAGGATGCTTACACTTCTGGGTGCCTGGCCTGGTCGATGGCAGACATAGAATGTCTCATAACCACATGTGCAATTCTATAGGCCATAGCTCCTCGTGCCTCTCTGAGGGGGCCAGGTTCTGGCTCGTGGTCCCTGGTAGGTCTAGAACTCCATCCACACTGACTGATGCCATAGTCTAATAATATCCATATCAGCCTAGATAGCTCCAGGGAGCCAAAGGGGCTCCACCCAGAAAACAGTACAGACAAATAAATGGTCCCCACAGGGTGTAACAGTATCCATGTTTTTTTTTTTTTTTTTTTTTGAGATATATACAAGAGTTGTTACATTCTTGTACAGCCACTAGTACGTGTAACGTTTCGGGCAGGTCCCTGGGATACGATCCCCACTGTGAAGAATCATTGTTACAACCAAGTACACATTTTACTGTTGCGTTAAACAGAGGCTACAGTTAAGGATTTGCGCCAGTAAATCCTCCCCGGCCAGGATACGAACCCATGACAAAGCGCTCGCGGAACGCCAGGCGAGTGTCTTACAACTACACCACGGAGACTGGTCAGTTCTTATCTGAAAAGCTGGGACTCAAAGAGCTGGTGGGAATGAGGAGCATAACTGTAACTACATTTTCCGTGTGCACCAGGAACAAAGCCAGCTGCTATGAGAGGGAGGTGATGTGTCAAAGCCAGGAGCCAAGTTGTTAGGTGTGCTGCACAGGTTAACTAGTAAGTGAAATGCTTCACTGGGTGGTTCATCTTGGTACATTGTTTTTAAGTTTTGTTTCTCTTACTTTGCTGATTGTCTGCATTGCCTTGCTCACCTTTTTAGAGGAATTTTTCTTGGTCTGAGTTATCTAGTATCCTCAAGCTCCCTGCACATCCTTAGAGAGGGGCTAGGCTTTGGCCTCTGACCCAGTAGGCCTGCAATGCCTGGCAAGGGCCTGGTGTGAAATGAATTGGGTGCAGCTATCCAGGTAGCAAGTACCAGGGAGCTTCCAAAAGAAGCCCTCTCAGAAAACTAGTTTTAAGTTAATGATATTAATGATTGTAAGTATAATCAAAGAAAACAGCAATAATGTACATAAAATAATGACAATTTGTTTACTATTTTTTATAATATACTGTATAAAAATTTATAAATTATAAAAATAGCTTATACTGTACTTTAATTTTACATATTTTCTAAAATTATGAAATTTACTTAATAATTTAGACTTACCTTCACCCCTTAAACTGATATGATAAGAACCAACAGCAACATCACCATCATTCATGTAAACGTAACAGGTGTAAGTATCATCATCACGAATATCTCTAATAGGACCCTCAATTAGTACTAAGTCTCCATTTGGTGTCAGGGACAAACCAGCAATGCCCGAGACATCTATGACACCCACAAAAAGTAAAGTATCTTCATCTTTCTTCCAACTGATCTGAAATTATGAATCAAAAACAAATATCAGACCTAAATATGAAATAAATGTACTAAAAAAAAAAAAAAAAAAAAAAAAAATCAAATACTGTACATATATAGTGGAACCTCAATTGACAAATGCCATAAAACCAGCATTGAATGTAATGAAATGCCATTTTCTGGGTGAGACACGGAGGCTCCCAAAAGCTATACCAGACTGATGTGTATATATTAGACCATGGCAACAGTCAATCGAAGGAGTTCTAAGCCTACCAGGGACCAGAGCCAGAACCTGGCCCCCTCAAGAGAGGCACGAGGAGCAATGGCCTAAAAACACCCCGGTGTAATGGAAGCAGTCTGTGTCTGCCATCTACCAGGTCAGGCACCCAGAAAGGTAGGAATTTTAAAACAAACTACTGCTGGTCAAAAATTGCAAACCGAAAGCCGAATTAGCAAATAGAACTCCCCAATCAAAAACAAGTTAACAAACACAAAGTAACCACAACCACCGTGCTTCTGTCTGCACAACCCTCCCCTCCCTGGGAGGGGGACAGGGAGTCCCAGACCTCCACGCCATCAACTCTCCTCAGTTCAGAGGCCGAGTATCAAAAACGCAAAAAAAAAAAAAAATGCCAACCAGAGGGAGGAAGAAATGCCGGGGAGTCTCCAAGTCTTATCCAGAGAATGGCGTTTCATTACATTCAATGCTGGCTTTCTTTGGAAAGCCCTTTTGGTTCCCCGGAGCTACCTAACCAAAGATAAGAAGAAAAGGGACTCACCTGGGAGGCGGCCGAACTCGCTCCTCAACTCAAAGTTGAGACAATTGGCCGCAACCTGTGACCCAAGGATGTACATGCCCGAGAAGAACATTAACAAGGTAACATGCTACCAGGACCCTGATCAACCTCCAAAAGCCCCATGCCTGAAGATAGGTCAGGATATATTACCAAAACAGCAGCCAAACGCCGAACTTATGAACGGTGTGGGCGCAGGGATAGACCGCAGGCTGGCTGGACCAAATACTCCTGCGAACAACCTGCGAGAAGGGAAACTGGGTCAACCCAAAGCGCATCCTCTGCCACAGAGACCGTGACGCGCAAATAACAGCGAAGTGCCACCAACAGACACAAAACATGATGCACCCCTGGCGAAACCAACCAAGCATCAACAACCCAAGGACCCCTTCTGAAAGCAGTAGACTAATTCTTCGCCAGAAAAGAAGGAGACGGCTGCAAACTAAGAAAAGATCACCAGGACTGAAAGAGCAGAAACTCCTGCACTGGAGGAGAGAATGAAGCTCCCTGACCCGACCTCCCAGAGGCCAAAGCCAGCAAGAAATAAAACAACTGGCTGCAACCTGCGACCCAAAGCAACATGAGAACGCCGAGGAGACGTTCTCCAAATAACAGGCAGCCAGGACCCTGTTCGACTTCCAAAACCCACGCGCCCGAATATCTGCCCAAGACATATTACCAAACACGGCAGCTAAAGCTGCAAACTTCCTAACATCATGGGCGTAAGGATAGACCACAGGCTGGCTAGACTTAATAACCCTGCGGACAACCTGGGAGACCCGAGCCCTGGAACAGGGAATGAGGGGAAACCGGATCAACCCAAAGTGCATCCCCAGCCACCCCGGCTGAAGCGCGCAGGTAACGGCGAAGTGCTGCAACTGGACACAACACATGATGCACCCCCGGCCGAACCAACCAAGCATTAATGACCCACGGACCCCTCTGGAAAGCAGCTGTCTCGTTCTTCGCCAGAAAAGATGGAGAAGGCTGCAAACGGACAAACCTACCCCCAGGACCAAAAGAGCAGAAACCCCTGCGCCGGAGGAGAGCATGAAGCTCCCCTACCCAGCCCCCAGAGGCCAAAGCCAACAAAAACAAAGCCTTGGAAAAACAATCAGGAACCGAAGGGGTCACCACAAACCGAGGAGAGGAAAGATAGGAGAGCACCCTATCCAAGGACCAGGATGGCTCAGGAGGCGCATGAGCAGGCTGGAGGTGAAACATAGCACGGGAAAGCTTACGAAACGGGGCGTATGTGACGTCCACCCCGAAAGCTAGCTTGAGCGGCTTCGCCAACGCCGCACGATACGAGGCGACAGTATTAGGCATCAAATGATGGTCCTGAAAAAGCCAAGAAAGAAAGGACAAAACAACCTGATCCGAAAGAAAAGACAACCTACGAAGAGCCAGAAAATGGCGAAAAGAACGCCAGGAAACGTCATACTGTTGCCGAGACGAAGCTCTCAGGTGGGACACCATCAACGAAGCCACCTGATCACCATAGAATTGGTGATACACCCGCGTCAAAAAGACCAGACGCGAAGAGCAGAGGAGAAGGTCGAACCAGCCCCATACCAGATTGGACCGACCTGCTGAAAGATGCGGAGCCGCGGGAAACGTCCCGGGTTCAGGCACCGAGCCAAGAGCATCGGAAACCAAGGCTGGGCCGACCTCCAAGGGGCCACGAGGACTACTCTCCCTGGGAATGTCTCCAACCGAACCAGAACCCGAAGCAACAGCTGGACCGGGGGTAAGAGGTACAGGTAACCCCACCTCGACCAGTCCTGCTGAAAGGCATCCACTGCGAACGCTTCGCAGTCGGGGAAGGGCGTCACATATATTGGGAGACGCCGAGACCACAGCGACGTGAAGAGGTCCACATCTGGGAGACCGTACGTCTGGCAGATCCAACGAAATGAGTCGTCGTCGACCGTCCACTCCATGGACAGGGGAAGGAAGCGAGACAGACTGTCCGCCAGAACATTGGACACTCCCCGGTCACGAACCGCACGGAGAGCCAAACCCCGAGAATCCAGCAGACGAACCACTTGAAGGGACCAACCCCAAAGAGCCAAGGACCGAAGAGAACCCCCATGGTTCAGGCAATGAACCACTGGAGAACAGTCCGAATGGAGGCGAATAGTCGATCCTCAGTGACCCGAATCCTCCGAAGCACGAACCAGACAGCCGCGAACTCTCGAACCATGCTGTGAGCCCGATGGAAGGACGGACCCCACCATCCCTGGCCTGCCTGGAGAGCACTGGTCACAAAGCCCCAGCCAAGAGACGACGCGTCCGTAAACACATCGAGTGAGGGCTCGGGAAGGCGCCAAGGCACCGAACCCCGAAAATCCCAAAGAGGAAGCCGGTGACGCAGCAACCGACACAAGACCCCCCGGAGGACGAACTCAATGATCGCGAGAGAGGCGGAAAGAACGTCCCCGAAGGAACCAAAACAGATGCCGAAGCCAAACCCGACCCAGCGGGTAGACTAGCAAGGCGAAGTTCAGACTCCCGCACAACCGCTCAAGCAACCGCCGAGTGACCTGGGACCCCCTCAGAAACAGCTGACAGCGGTCCCGCAGCCGTCGCAATGCCTTTGGAGGGAGAGACAAGGAAGCGGTCCAAGAATCTCAAACAAGACCCAGCCAGGTCCGAACCTGGGATGGAACCAGATGGGACTTCCTCCAGTTCACCAGGAACCCAAACCTGGCGAGCTGGGAAAGAACCATATCCCTGGCGAGCAGACTAGCTGACCGACTGGGAGCCCGCACCAGCCAGTCGTCGAGGTAGGGCAAAACCCGAATCCCTAGAAGACGCAGATGGGTCACCACAACCCAGGTCAGACGTGTGAAAACGCGAGGTGCCAGATTCAAGCCAAAAGGTAGGCATCGAAAATGGTAAGCGTGATGCCCCACCATGAAACCTAACCAGTCCCTGAACCCCGGATGAATAGGAACGTGCCAATAGGCGTCATTGAGGTCCAGGGACACCATCCAGGCACCCGGCTCCAACAGAAGCCGGACCTGAGACAGAGTAGTCATCCGAAAGGAGGGGCAAGGAATCCAGGGGTTCAGACGGGACAAGTCCAGAATGAACCTCAGATCCGCACAGTCCCGTTTCGGCACTGGAAACAGACGGGTAACCCACCTGAGGGACGTAGTCGTTTCGACCACGCCCAAGCGCACCCACTCCAAGACGACTTGACAAAGCGCAGGAGAAGAAACCTGCCCTGTTAGCCCCGAACCCCCCAAAGGAGGACGAGTCGCCCAATGCCACTGCAGGCCAGATGACACGACCGAAAAGGCCCACAAATTGTGGGACCAAGCGTGTGCAAACAGAGCGAGTCTCCCCACCATCGCCCCGTCAACGGGGCAAACCGTGAAAGGGCCAACGCCCCTTACGAGAACCCAACCGTCGAACAGGGCGATCACTGCGCCAACCAGAGGACGCTGGCCCCGAAGGGAACAACGGCTCAGAAACTGGCACCAATGGCCCACCCTGACCAGTGGAACCTGGAACCCTAGCACAACCCCTCTGAAACTGCTGAGAATGACTGCTTCGGACAATCAACAAGTCCGCCATAGGACGACAACTAGACGAAGCCGCTTGCAGAAACTGAGAGACCGCAGTCTCCGCAAACAGCAACGGACAAAACAGAGATGAAAACCTAAGAGCCAGGGCACAAGCGGATTCCAAACAGAGGGCGAGTACAGCCTGATGGCACGCGTGGCGAGAAGCAAAAAACAGAGACACCGCTTCCTTCAGGATGGGCGCAAAGAGCTTCAACAGTGTAGCTGATGCCCTAGCTGCCGAAGACAGCACCCCGGACGAAGGCCCTTCACTCAACGCTCCTACATCCTTCTCAAGCCAAGCAGAAGACAGCTCGAGAGGGGAAAAGAAACGCAAGACTGAAGTCAAATGCCCACGGGCGCGCGACTCCTCTGCAACCAATGAAGCCGAAAGCTGAGGAACCTGCATGTGAAGCTGGAAAAGGCTAACATCCCGAGAAAGGACGGGACCGAACAAGCATGCATTAAGGTGCTCAAACTCACCCCCCCAGGTAAACCTGCATAAAAGTAGAAGTTTCCCGCCAATGAAGCGTGCGGGTCTGACAGAACCCATGCCACGCCCCCAACGAAAAGAAAGGGCAGTCTGCCAGCCAAGAAGACTCCGGAACCTCGAAACGCACCCAAAAATGGGAAGAAGAACCGAACTCAAACGAGGACAGATCCATAGCAGAGGCATAACCCGGGTCTCGCAAGAGGTATGCAGCTAGAGCTTCCCGAGCCACCTTCGCGGAGATACGGGAAGTAGAAAACTTCTGGAAAAATGGATCCGAGGTACCCAAAGGCGCCTGGAACCGAACTCGGGGAGGAGCCGAACCCAAATCATACTCGTACAGGGAAGGAGGGTAAGAAAACTCCTCACCTTGCACCAATAAGCCCCGCGAGAAAGGCAAAGGCACCCAAGCGGGGTCACAGGGGGCCCAAGGCCCCCAGGTTGACTCCTCCCCAACCCCAGGATCCCCCACGTCGGGACCCGGGGCAGAGCCGTCCTCTAAACCCTCTACCCCTGAAGAAAAGGCAGAGTCCAAGGGAAAGCAGACAAGAAAGGGGTCTGCTGGTGGGACCCAGAAGCCTCGGCAGGAGGAACCGGCTCAAATGCCTCCGTCCCCGATCCGGATGGGGCAGCCCCCCGAGGCAGCCCGAATCTCATTGCCAACTAAACCCTGTGCCGAGGCCGAAATCCTCAGATGTTTTGGGGCCGGACACAGGGGGTGAGGTGCAGGAAGAACCACAGAGGAAGGACCAGGGAGCGCGGCTGGAGCCAAAGCCAGAGCGACTAACAACCCCAGGTCAGGGTCCCTAAAACCAAAACGGGGCAGCCTCGGGGCATCTGGGTGGGAAACCAACCTAGCACGTTGCAATAACCTAAACCTAACATGCAATGCTGATGCTGCCTGTACCCTAACAGGAACATCCTCAGAGTAAAACTGGAGCACAAGCAGAGAACATGACTCGCAAGACTCCGGGTCAAAGGTGTCATTGACCCAACAGGTAGCATGACAGAGGCAAAACAGGTGACTGTCACCCCTGAGACAAGGGCACACTGCAATCTTCAAACCCGCACAAGGCAGGTTGGAACTCGGGAGACGCATCCATGGGTCCCCGAGCCCCGACAGGGGTTTCCAGGGCCTGTAGGTTAGCAACTATGGGAAGCCCGGGCAAGGTGTTGCTAACTGGTTAAGAAACCCAAACAAAACAAGGGGTAAATGATAATACTGAAAACCCCTGGGACGTGTACAAGAACAGGGGCCTAGCAGAGGACCACCAAAACAATACCAGGGGAACTATGGACCCACGAGGCAGAACCTCCACCAGGCAAACAAAAACAAAACAAAAGAAAAACCCCACAAACGTACACCGTCCCCAGAGGCAACAGGAACCAGTCGCCGCTTAGGTGGCAGGCCGTGCAACACCTTGACGCCCTAACCAGCACAATACCACTCCTTACCCAAGGCCAAACAAGTGCCCCAAGCCCCAGCTGGCCCCAAGGGCGAGGCAAATGCCGAGCAGCAAGAACCTCTACGGGAGCGGTTCCCGAACGCCCCAGAGAAGATAAACCTGACACGCAAGGGCAGTGCTCACAGGGCGCCTAGGGAAGGAAGCCCCTAAGCGCATGCAGCCTTGGTACTGGTGAGGAACACCTGGCCACCGCACAACACAACACATGGCTGTGAATTCCACTCAAGGCAAACACCGCCCAGGAAACTGAGGCCAGAGAAGCGTCTATTCCGGTTGACATTAGCTTCCGAACTGATGCTAGGCAGCAGGCATGGTGAGGTCCGGGGCCTGCTGCCTAGAGGGGGAGGGGCCCCCTTCCCCTCTCTGGGCAGGGAAGGCTGCGCGGACGATCGGCATGGCAGTAAAGTGTGATGTTTGCTTGTTTGCTTGTTTCTTTGAGATTGTAGGGAGTTTCTACTTCTCTGTTCAGTTTTATGTTTTAGTTTTTTACCATGTGGGGTTTGTTTTGTTATGCCTACCTTTCTGGGTGCCTAACCCCGGTCGATGGCAGATAGGGAAAACCCCAACCACAAGGGGGTTTTCCAGGGCCATCGCTCCCTAAAATCTCTCTGAAGGGGCCAGGTTCTGGCGCTGGTCCCTGGTCGGTTTGAACTCCTTAGCTAATGTCCCAGTCTAATATAACATACATTAGCCTGATAAGCTCCAGGGAGCCGTAGGGGCTTCCCACAGAAAATATATGTAACTGGTATTATTTAGCAATGATAATATTACAGAAGACCCCTGACTGATAAAAATGACAAGGATTCTGATAATAGCAGGATTGTTGTGATAATTAGCACTGTGCTGTATGGTGGGAGGAGTAATGCTCAGGGAGGAAGGGAGATAGCGTCGTCTGCTGACTCTGTGTGGCCACCTATTATTCTCTGCATTCACCATACCAGTCCAGTGGTTCTCTTTTTTGAACACAAATGTAGATACTTATATATAATCTGTGTATTAGTGTAATAACAGCAAAAGGAGTATGTTGGGAGGAGCCATTTGGGTGACGGAGGTGGTGTGGTCTGCATGACTAGTCAGGCTGTGTAGAGGGTGGCCACTATACTCTTTGGGCACCATACCAGCTTAGTTGTACAGTTATAGTGAATAAAACATGTAGATACTCATATATAATGTGTGTGTATATAGTGTAATAACACCACAAACAGTGTTGTTGGGGGAGAAATGTTAGTGTGTCTGGCTTTGAACCAGTGAGAAAGGCAGCCGCCAGCTGACTGTCTAGAGGGTCTAGACCATGGGTGAAGGTCTAGACCATGGGTGAGGATTTAGACCATGGGTGAGGGTCTAGTCCATGGGGTGAGAGTCTAGACTATGGGTGAGGGTCTAGACCATGGGTGAGAGTCTAGACCATAGGTGAGAGTGTAAACCATGGGTGTATAGTCTACATAAAATATATATATGTGTTGGGCTGGATAATGACATAGGGGCTAATTTCATACCATATGACCAACAACATGGACTGGAAAAAAACCATAGACAAATGTGCCTCCCACAGATGACGGTAGGTTCCTAGAACACATAACACATGATAAAAGATCAATTAGTGATTGGTTTGCCTGGTATACTTCATTACAACTGTATGGAGTTGTGAAAACCATATGAACATCATTACATGATATACATTGGTATACACATCATGTAATTACTACGGAATTTTATACAATGATGATGACCGCATTCTCCTAGTAACATTTATGACAATAACCGCATTCACATAGTATCATAACCATGAAACAATAGCAGGATTTTTTTTATGGGTCAATGTAAATTCCATTATATCCACAGAGCTACTACATCCATATTTGCATCATACATGTAAAACCCGGACATCAATAGTTTAAATCATCATATGACACTAACCACATTACCCTGTGAAACACCATATGATGATAACAACACTTCAAGTGTTAACATACTCCTTATAAAACAGTATGAGGTCAGCTGCTAAATAAGTAATAAAGGACAAAATATACATTAAGATAACAATATAAACAAAATCATGGGTTCATAATACAAAAGCTCTAACTCACATCAAGAGGATCATGTCCTTCACATCCCAGAATTACTTCTTCATAAATGGGAGGTGGGACTGTTGTTGTTGTTGTTGTTGTTGTTGTTGTTGTTGTTTCTGGGCTGGATATTTGTATTATTTTAAAATCATGCTCTGCTTCCTTTGCAACTTCAGTAGTTACTTCCTCTGCAACTTCAGTAGTCACTTCCTCTGCAATTTCAGTAATTACATTCTCTGCAAATTCAGTAGTCTCTTCCTCTGGAACTTCAATAATCACTTCCTCTGGAACATCAGTAATCATTTCCTCTGCAATTTCATTAGTTACGTCTTCTTCCTTTGCAACTTCAGTAGTTACATCTTCTTCCTTTGTAACTTCAGTAGTTACATCTTCTTCCTTTGCAACTTCAGTAGTTACATCTTCTTCCTTTGCAACTTCAGTAGTTACATCTTCTTCCTTTGCAACTTCTGTAGTTATTTCTTCCCTTGCAAATTCTGTAGTTACTTCCTCTGCAACTTCTATAGTTACCTCTTCTTTTAAAACTTCTGTAGCTACTTCCTCTGACTTTGGAACTTCAGTAGTTACTTTCTCTGCAACTTCTACAGTTACTTCTTCCTTTGCAACTTCTGTGGTTACTTCCTCTTCCTTTGCAACTTCTGTGGTTACTTCCTCTTCCTTGTCAATTTCTGTTGTTACGTCCATTTCCTCTGTAGCTTCTGTACTTGATTCTACCTCCATTGCAGATGAACTAAAAGAAAAAATGAAGATTTTGCAAGGATATGGAGGGTTATATCCCTATCCCCTTTTACATTAAATATATTTTGAGGCAATTTTAATAAATTATTTTAAATGGAGTCATATACATATTAATTTATACTTTATGGAATGTATGAGAATAAATAAAATAATGGTTGACTCAAAAGTATTTATGTTGTCAGTTGTTAGTCACAAAAGCACTTACCTCTCAAGATGTATTTCTTCATCTGGAGAAGGCATGCTCAGAGTTGTTGATTCCCCTGTTGATAATTAAACATTTTTAATAATACACCTAATTGCTTGTATTACAAAATTTGATGAAAGCTGGTACATTATTTGATGAATTTGATGTATTTATTTATTTATTTATACATATATCCAAGAAGGTACATTGGGATTGTGAGGATACATAGCATAGTAATTATATTCTTGTAAAGCCAATAGTATGCGCAGCATTTCGGGCAGGTCCTTAATCCAAGAAAATTTTAAGTAGGTAAATACTAGCAAAATTTATAAAAATGATAACAAGTACATTGCAAGAAGAAAAAAAAGGATGAGAGAAATTTGTAGGTATAATAAAGCACATAGGTAGCTCAAATTGATTGCATTGACGGCTTGAATGGTAGTTTAAAAAAATATAATAGACACAATACAGCATATAGCTAGCACATAAAAGAAAACAGCAATGATCACAATGGTAAAGTTGTTTGGATTAAGTACATAAAACCAGTGTTGAATGTAATGAAACGCATTTTCTGGGTGAGCCCTGAAGGCTCTCTGGAGCTTATCGCACTAATGTTTTCTGTTCCCAGAGGAACAGAAAGCGAGCAGAAAACACCAGAAAAGCATAGAAATGACAACAGAAGGATAAAACCCCTGAAAAAGGTGAAAAAAACTCACCCAAGACGCTCGCTCGCACACCCAGGCGTATGTCAACAAATCGCAACGCTGCCCTGGTAGCTACGCCAGGAAACCAGCAGAAGAAAATGGCCACCAGAATAGGGGGCTGTGACTGACGCAAAAGATATGAAAACATGCCAGCAAAAGTGGGAAGCAAGCAGACTGGATGGGCGAAAAACTCTGCCCAGAAGCAAAAAACCCCGGCAGGGTCAAACAGCCCCAGAACTGCTAGCAGGCATCCCCCACAGCCCCGGGAACCCGCAACAGAGGCCCCGGGGCACAGCTGTCCTCCAAGCCCTCCGCCCTTAAAGAAAAGCAAAGGTCCATGGGAAAGGCAGCAAGAAAGGGCCGTTGGTAAGACCTAGAAGCCTTGGCAGGAGGAACAGGCTCGAAAACCTCCGTCCCCAACCCGAACGGAGCAGCCCCCGAAACCGCCTGAGTCTCGACCCCAACTAAACCCTGCCCTGACCCCAAAACCCGCAGACGGTTAGGAGCCAGGAACAGGGAGGGAAAGGGGCAAACAGCACCTAACCAAAACGGGGCGGTCCCGGGGCATCCGAGTGGGAAACCAATCTAGCTTGCAACACGGATGCTGCCTGTACTCTGAACAGTAATAACATCAGGAGAGTATTGGAGAACAAGCAGAGAATATCCCTCGCAAGACTCCGGGTCAATGTGTCAGTGACCCAACAGGCAACATGACGGAGGTAAAAGTGGCGACTGTCACCCGGAGACAAGGGCACAGCAACCAACGATCCAGTACAAGACAGGTTGGAACCCGGAAGACACATTTAATGGTCCACGAGCCGCGGCAGGGGTTTCCAGGGCCCATAGGGTAACAACTACGGGAAGCCAGGGCAAGGTGTTACTAACTGGTTAAGAAACCCAAAAATAACAAGGGGGTAGAGGACAACACTGAAAGTCCCCTGCGACGTCTACAATTACGGGGGCCTAGCAGAAGGACACCAAACACTACCAGTGGAACTATAGCAACACTGGGCAGACCCCCACCAGGCAAATGAAAATTAAAACAAAAGAAAAACCCCGCAAAAGTACACTGTCTCCAGAGGCAACAGGAACCGGTCGCCGCTTAGGTGGCCGGTCGCGCAACACCTTGACGCCCTAACCAGCACAATACCAGTCCCTACCCAGGGCCAAACAAGGGCCCCAAACCCCAGCTGGCCCCAAGGGCGAGGCAAATGCCGAGCATTAAGAACCTCTATGGGAATGGTTCCCGAATTCCCCAGGGAAGATAACCCTGTCATGCAGGGGCAGTACTCACAGGGCACTTAGGGAAGGAAGCCCCTAAGCGCATGCAGCCCTGGTACTGATAATAATAAACCTGGCCACCACACAACACAACACACGGCAGTGAACGCCACACAAGGCAAAAACCGCCTAGGAAACTGAGGCCAGAGAAGCATCTATCCCAGTTGACATTAGCTTACAAACTGATGCTAGGCAGCCAGCGAGGTGAGGTCCGGGGCTCCCCCCTACCCCTCTCGGAGCGGGGAGGGCTGCGTGGACAATCGGCGCGGCAGTAAAGTGTGATGTTTGCTTGTTTGCTTGTTTCCTTGGGATTGTAGGGAGTTTCTACTTCTCTGTTCGGTTTTTTGTTTTAGTTTTTTACCATGTGGGGTTTGCTTTGTTGCGCATACCTTTCTGGGTGCCTAGCCCGGTTGCTGGTAAACAAGGAATGTTCCAATTCACATGTGCATTTCTATAGGCCATTGCTCCTCGTGCCTCTCTGAGGGGGCCAGGTTCTGGCTTGTGGTCCCCAGTAGGCCTCGAACTCCACTCACATTGACTGATGCCAAAGTCTAATAATATACATATCAGCCTGGATAGCTTTGTGGAGCCAAAGGGGACTCCCCACCAGACAAGAAAAAATTTGTAAATGTGAAAAAAAAGGTGACCAGGATCACTCTTGGCTGCCAAGGAGATACAATCCCTAAAATTATATCATAGTAATACATGTATATTTTAAGTTTGAATCAAATCAATGAACATTGCAAGGATGAGGTATGAAAATGTAACATTTATAAAACAAAATAAATATTAAATTAGGTCAAAACAAGGTACCGTAATCCAAAAAAGAGACAGTTAATTAGCACTACCTTCAAGCTTGATCATCAATAGGGTGACTTGTAGAATATATGGATCTTTAAAATCTCTGCAGGTGTATGCTCCCAGATCATCTTCTGTCGTATTTAAGACAGTAAGTGTGATAATGGCTCCTTCTCCATCAGGGTCCTCGGATCTTGCCCATTCATATTTTACTGATTGATTCAATGATGAATGCAATATATCTTCTTCGTTATGTACAAACTTGACCTGTTGATTAAAACAATTGTTGTCAGGGACGATAATTAAAAAACCAGCGTATAATGAAACTCCATTTTCTGAGTGAGACTTGGAAGCTCCACAGAGCTAGCCAGGCTGATATTGCAAAAACTTAGACTTTGACTGATATGGCATCAATATGAATGGAGTTCTTTAGGCCTACCAGGGACCATGAGCCAGAACCTGGCTCCCTCAGAGAGGCACGAGAGCAATAGTGTTCCCATATGGTTGGAAGCATTCTATGTCTGCCATCGCCCGGGTCTGGCACCCAGAAAGGTAAGCATCCCGGGGCTGACAGGAAGCCTCCCGGTCTCATCCACAAAATGGTGTTTCATTACATATAATGCTGGTTTTATGGGGGAAGCCCCTTCAGCTCCTTGGAGCTACTTACCAAAAGACAAAAACAAGAGGGACTTACCTGGGAGGCGGTTGTTGCTCGCTCCTCAACGCAAAGCTGAGACAACTGGCTGCAACTGCCGACCCAAAGCGACACAGGCCCTACAAGGTCCAGGAACATTAACCAAGTAACTCGCAGCCAGGACCCTGTTCGACCACCAAAAACTCCGCACCCGAATGTCAGCCCAAAACATGTTGCAAAAGACGGCAGCAAGAGCAGCCAACTTATGAACGTTGTGGGCTCGAAGACAGACTGCAGGCTGGATGAACCGAATAATCCTGCAGACTACCTGGGAGACCTAAACCCTGGAACAGGGAAGGAGGGAAACCGGGTCAACCCAACGTGCGCTCCCGGCTACCGAGGCCGTGGTGCGCAGGTAATGGCAGAGAGCCGCGACCGGACACAACACGCGATGCATCCTCAGACTAACCAACTAAGCATCAACAACCCAAGGGGGCCCCCTCCAGAAAGCAGCAGTCTCATTCTTCACCAGAAAAGAAGGAGATGGTTGCAAACGAACAAACCTACTACCAGGACCAAAAGAGCAGAAACCACTGTGACAGAGGAGAGAATGAAGCTCCCTGACACAACCAGCAGCAGTCAATGCCAACAGGAAAAAGAGCCTGGGAAAACAAGCCTTGGAAGGCTGGAGGTGAAACAACGCACAAGACAGCTTGTGGAACCTTACCTTGAGGTTACCTTGAGATGCTTCTGGGGCTTAGCGTCCCCGCGGCCTGGTCGTCGACCAGGCCTCCTGGTTGCTGGACTGATCAACCAGGCTGTTAGACGTGGCTGCTCGCAGCCTGACGTATGAGTCACAGCCTGGTTGATCAGGTATCCTTTGGAGGTGCTTATCCAGTTCTCTCTTGAACACTGTGAGGGGTCGGCCAGTTATGTCCCTTATGTGTAGTGGAAGCGTGTTGAACAGTCTTGGGCCTCTGATGTTGATAGAGTTCTCTCTCAGAGTACCTGTTGCACCTCTGCTTTTCAACGGGGGTATTCTGCACATCCTGCCATGTCTTCTGGTCTCATGTGATGTTATTTCTGTGTGCAGGTTTGGGACCAGCCCCTCAATTATTTTCCACGTGTAAATTATTATATATCTCTCCCACCTATGCTCAAGGGAGTACAGATTTAGTCTCTTTAGTCAGTCCCAGTAATGAGGAATGGTCCCAGGAATGGCGCAGAAGTAACATCAACGCTGAACGCAAGCTGCAGCAGCTCCACCAGCACCGCACGATGCAAGGCGACAGTATTCGGCATAAGATGATGGTTCTGGAACAACCATGAAAGGAAGGACAAAATAACCTGAACAGAGACAGAAGTACACTTATGAAGGGACAAGAAATAATGGAAGGACTGTCAAGAAACTTCATACTGCCACTGAGACAAAACATGCAGGTGGGACACCATCAACTAAGCCAACTGCTCATCATACAATAGACTCGAGTCAGAAAGACCAAACGCAAAGACTCGAGGAGAAGATCGAACCAGCCATGTAACGGACAGGATCGATCTGCTGAAAGAGGCGGAGCCATGGGAAGACCCTCGGGTTCGGACACCGAGCAAGCAGCGCCTGAAACTAAGGCTGGGCCATCTACCAATGAGCAAAGAGGGACTACTCTCCCTTGGTAAGTCTTCAAGCGAGCTAGGACCTGGAGAAAACTAGCTGTGAAGTACCCTGCACCCCTACCAATGCAAACTACCCCTACCCAAAGGCAAACAAGGGTGCATGAAACACCCCCAGCACACTAAGGGCGATTAATCACCAAGCAGCAAAAGACCAAGCAGAGATTGATCCCAAGGCGACTTGTGGCAAGTGGCCCCCAAGCCCCATGGGAAGCACTTACAGGGCACCTAGGGAAGGTGACCCTAGGTGCATGCAGCCTGAGTACTTGTGAAATTACTTCTGGCTCACGCACCATCAGAGAAATAGCATCACACCCCAAGGCACAGAGTTGGAGGACAGGAAAACAGGAGCCAGAGTCAAACGACCATTTGCCAAATACATCAGTCAAAGAACTGGGGTATAAATAGCCGATTTGAGGGTCTGTGGCCCCCCATCCCCCTCCTAGAGAGGGGGGGGGAGCTGCGCAGACAAGTGGTGCGGTGACATGGTGACGTCATGCTCGTCTTCGTTTGGGGAGTTTCGTCCACTAGTTCGGCTTTCAGTAGCAATTTCTTAACCAAAATAGGGGTTTGTTTTAGGGCACTTACCTTTCTGGGTGCCTGACCCAGTCGATGGCAGACTTAGAATTCTTCCAACCACACAGGGGTTTCTATAGGTCATTGCTCCTTGTGCCTCTCTGAGGGGGGCAAGGTTCTGGCTCGTGGTCCCCGGTAGGCCTAGAACTCCATTCACATTGACTGATGCCAAAGTTTAATATATCCATATCAGCTTGGATAGCTCCAGGGAGCCGTAGGGGCTCCCCTCCAGAAAAAATTAATATAATGAAATGCCACTTCACGGAGATATTCAGTGCAAGGTTCAGTTCTTGCACCAGTGATGTTTATTGTCTACATAAATGATCTACCAGTTGGTATACAGAATTATATGAACATGTTTGCTGATGATGCTAAGATAATAGGAAGGATAAGAAATTTAGATGATTGTCATGCCCTTCAAGAAGACCTGGACAAAATAAGTATATGGAGCACCACTTGGCAAATGGAATTTAATGTTAATAAATGTTATGTTATGGAATGTGGAATAGGAGAACATAGACCTCACACAACCTATATATTATGTGAGAAATCTTTAAAGAATTCTGATAAAGAAAGAGATCTAGGGGTGGTTCTAGATAGAAAACTATCACCTGAGGACCACATAAAGAATATTGTGCAAGGAGCCTATGCTATGCTTTCTAACTTCAGAATTGCATTTAAATACATGGATGGCGATATACTAAAGAAATTGTTCATGACTTTTGTTAGGCCAAAGCTAGAATATGCAGCTGTTGTGTGGTGCCCATATCTTAAGAAGCACATCAACAAACTGGAAAAGGTGCAAAGACATGCTACTAAGTGGCTCCCAGAACTGAAGGGCAAGAGCTACGAGGAGAGGTTAGAAGCATTAAATATGCCAAAACTAGAAGACAGAAGAAAAAGAGGTGATATGATCACTACATACAAAATAGTAACAGGAATTGATAAAATCGACAGGGGAGATTTCCTGAGACCTGGAACTTCAAGAACAAGAGGTCATAGATTTAAACTAGCTAAACACAGATGCCGAAGAAATATAAGAAAATTCACCTTCGCAAATAGAGTGGTAGACGGTTGGAACAAGTTAAGTGAGAAGGTGGTGGAGGCCAAGACCGTCAGTAGTTTCAAAGCGGTATATGACAAAGAGTGCTGGGAAGACGGGACACCACGAGCATAGCTCTCATCCTGTAACTACACTTAGGTAATTACACTTAGGTAATTACCAGAGGTCATGATGACCAGTTGTGTACACACCAGAGGCCACAATGACCAATTGTGTGTACACACCAGAGGTCATGATGACCAGTTGTGTACACACACCAGAGTCCATAATGATCAGTTGTGTGTACACACACACACACACACATCAGATGCCATGATGACCAGTTTTGTACACACCAAAGGTCATTATGATCAGTTGTGTGTACACACACACACCAGAGGTTATGATGACCAGTTGTGTACACACCAGAGGCCATAATGATCAGTTGTGTGTACACACACACACACTAGATACCATGATGATCAGTTGTGTGTACACACACACACTAGATGCCATGATGATCAGTTGTGTACACACCAGAGGCCATAATGATCAGTTGTGTGCACACACACACACCAGATACCATGATGACCAGTTGTGTGCACATGCCAGTTAAACATTGATTAATAAAGAAAAATACTTACCCAATCTCCTGTTGGAGAATAACATCTAACACTTGCACTTTCACCAAGTTGAATCTCCACTAATCCTATAAAGCATAAAAATTTAAATAGGTTATTACAGTACAATCTATGAAGTTAAAAATTAAAAACCTGCCTAAACTCTTACATGCATACATACATTCACCCACTCTCACACAAATATTATATGGAAGACAGGACACCACAAGCTATCTTATTCGGAAGCTGTACAATAATTATATATCTACCTACTTTCACACACAAATGCACACATTTGAACTACTGTATGGGGAATCTCATCTTCAGTAAGGCATATTTACATTGGATAAAGTTCAACAAAGAGTGATAAAATGTCATCAGAGAAATAAGTTGACTCTCATAATAGGAATGGTTGAGGGCCACAGGACTAACAACACTGCAAGCCAGACATGAGGACACTTATCTCATCAAAACTTAAAATACTAAACAGATTGGATGATGTTAATTCAGAATTTTGCCTGGATGTTTTAGCTGAACTTGGCACCTGTCTTCTGGCGAATGACCTCGGTGCCTGGGTTCCTACTTGGTTAGCTGCCTTAACTCTTAAACCGTGCAAAACATATATACAATGCTTCCTCAGTCTTACAAACCCCCCTCTATCGAATTCCTGGAAGAGCCGAATAAATTGAATTCGGTACCAAATGTTCAGTGGAACATACAAATGTTCGATTCAGTGAGGAATGTTCATCCAAGCGGTCACCGAGGCTGAGCGTCAGAGCTGGCTGTCATCAACTATGATTCTCCAAAGTGTAAACAGTTATACAGTGTTTTATTATCCTTACCCATTGTTTCTAGGGAGAAATGGTTATAAAAATGATGATAAAATGGTGTCAGGGGGGCATTGGTGAGAGAGTTGTTGTCAGGGGGCAAGTGGTGTCATTAGTTAGGGTTTATTGTTAGGGGGCAGGTGGTGTAAGTTACATATTCTCATAGGAGGCAGATTGTCAGGGTAGACGTTGTCAAGGGAAGCTGAAGTAATAGTGGTGTTAGTAGAGGCTGTAGAGGCAACACGTGACTGGTGCCTCCATTCTACCCCCCCCCCCCACACCCCACCCTCCCTCCTGCACCTGACCACCAGAGACCAGCCACTAACTCTCCTCTCTTTTCGTCGTCAGATGCCACGAGTCAATTTAATGATAATCATTGCATTATCTTCACTGAAAATAGCCTTTTTATTATAAAAATGTCATATTGAAGCAATAATAATAATAACGGTAAAAATTGTGATATATACAACATTTTAAACAGTTGGAACACATTTCCTTTTCACAGAATTTTTAATACAATTGGGGTTTAAAAAACAACATCTGACTTGACAATGTGTGACCAGCTGGTCGCTCCTTGAGCCATTGACGGGGGGGGGAGGAAGGGGTTTCCTGGATCCCTCCCTCCCTCTAACAGCCTACGTACTGTACTGTAATACATTAGATATTAATATAGTACTGTACTGTATAAACTGAATAAAACTTCAAAACAAACAATATTTTATTAATTATAACCACAAACAATATTATTTTAAACAAAACAATTTGTAAGTCTATTTAGATTAAATTTTGAGTAGGCCAATAAAACAAGCACAGGTCGTGTGAACGTTAGGCCTTGGTGAGGTGGCTGGCACCATTTGTCTCCCCTCCTCCTAGTATGAAAATGTGTTGCTCGTGCGCGAAGGATAATTTTGAACAATTTTTATCGTTTGAACTCTTATAATCTGTCAAGATGTCTCAGAGCAGCATTCGTGGTGTTCAAGATTTAAAATGAAAGAGAAAATATTTGTTAATTGATCAGAAAATTGATTTAATAGAGAAAGCAGAGCGTGGATACTCTGTCACCCATCTCGCTCAAGAATTCAACATCAGTAAAGCTACAGTTTGTGATATAAAAAAGCAGAAGGATAATATTAGGAAATTTGTTGCTCAAAGTCAAACTCATGCAATAGGCAACAGGAAAACATTGAAGCCTTCTAAATATACGGATTTGGACTTGGTTGTATTCAAATGGTTTACTCAGCATCGTGCGAAAGGAATTGTCCACTAGTCCACTAGCAAGGACTCACCTGATGATGCCCAGGCAACTGGACCAGCATCTAGCACTAGCAAGGACTCACCAGAGGATGCCCAGGATACTGGACCAGCACCTAGCACCAGCAAGGACTCACCAAAGGATGCCCAGGATACTGGACCAGGACCTAGCACTAGCAAGGACTTACATGAGGATGCCCAGGCAACTGGACCAGCACCTAGCACCAGCAAGGGCTCACCAGAGGATGCCCAGGATACTGGACCAGCACCTAGCACCAGCAAGGACTTACCTGAGAATTCCCAGGCACCTGGACCAACACCCAGCACTAGCCATAACTTACCTAGGAGTGCCAATTGAGCTGTACAACACAGTTCTAATGACATAAATGTACAAAGTGTAAAAAGTATAGTTCAAGTGATACAGTACAGTACATGTTTACTTCACTAGTATGATTCTAGTGGTCTGTACTTTATGTACAGACTGTAGTGCATAATGTACATTTGTTCGAAAAGTTACTGTTCTTTAACCACTTAACACTTTCGCTCACCCCGCGCGCCACCCCTCGACAGGGCGATATGGGCCCCAGCGTGTCACGGAAGCGCGCGTTAATTCCGAAAAGTGTATACTCTCTTCAACTTTGTCACCTCAATTCTCCTTCTACGAGAATAAATTTGGTATCATTGTGTTCGCAATAAAATTCTCTACAGCACTAAATGCATATAAACTCCAAAAGCCCGGCTAATTACCCGCAGCAAACAGAGAAAGTGCGAACGAGTTACCCGGGAGCGCGCAAACGGGATAAAATGTTTTCACTATTTTCACTCTGGTCACCTCAATTTTTGTCCTAGGTCTTTCATTTTGGTCTCAATGGGTTCGTAATAAAATTCTCTAGAGGAACATTAGCATATAAAAAAAAACACCTGGTCACGCTCCAACCGCCGACGAGTTGAAGACGGGCCACGCGTTAGCCGTGAGTGAGCGCTCAGAGGCCTTCCTACTACACTCCCAATTCCCACCCTTTTCAAGCCTTTCTTTCGCAATTTTCTTCCTGGAAGGGCCTTGTTCATGATTACTATCCATCGTGGAGTAAGCGTAGATAGTTTCTAAAGCCGCAGTAAGAAATATAGCCACGGAAAATAGCCGAAATGTTCACACGTTTGAGATGCGAGGGGAGACGACATTGGTCACAACAGTGGAGCAAAGACAATGGGCCCACGGCGTGTGCCAAGCCGCCTGAGGGCCACGAGGCTCAACAAAGGAAATGGGAAGACATCGGCGCACATTTTAAAACCAGTCCCCAAAAAATCGGATACAAACCTGATTTTTGGCGAATTTTTAAAGTGGATGACGCAATGCTGCGTCATCCCCGGCATTACCGCCAGTAAACGGATGACGCAATGCTGCGTCATCCCCGAGCGAAAGTGTTAACTGCACCAGCCGAGTATTCTCGGTCGGCGGGAAACTGCACCAACCGAGAAAACTCTTTTTTATTTTTTCGTACCCATTCTAAATGTGTGTGAGGTTGATTGTGTACAAAATGGACTCTTAGGACCTCCAGTGAGAGGCAGCCATCTTGGAAAAAATTCCCAGAATGCCCTAGGGCTGCTGGCTGGGTTAGTACTGAATGAGCAACCATTGGTGGCGCATGCGCCTCTGGCTCCCAAACACCTGTCTGACGCGGTGTTGAAAGATAACGCTCTATCGGTGAAATTCAAACCTTATTGTTTGAAGAACATAAGGGTCATAATATTGGTAAAGCTAGGTGCAATAAGGACCTAACACAAAGGTCGGATGCAAGTGATACAACACCTATGAGGACGATACAGCGAGCGTATCCAGTTGTAGCTCTAAGCGTCAATCTTGCAATCCTATGCTATCTCCAATTTATTTAGATTATACATAAATGAATTCGCTTTCTGCGTTCAGTGATGATGCATCTGATATAAGTAGCATAGATGAACAGTGTTAGCGGCTTCCATGGTGGTGTTTTCCATAGATATTTTCAAGAATACCTGAATCTCTTCCTGACTAACGGACAATCTTTGAGGCTAGCTGAATCTCTTTCTGACTAATGGATACTCTTTGAGGCTAGCTGAATCTCTTCCTGTGTGGGACCATACAAAGCGATCTTTTCAAGACTACCTTACAAATTGATCTTTTCCTATAATCTTTTCAATACTACCTTATGCTTTAGAAGCTTGGCTACATACAACCTACAAGTACTAAAGCCAAGGGTGTACGTGAGTGCGTTATTTACAAGCACACAGAATGAAGAAACAGGAAGCGAAAATTTATCTGTATTTAGTGCAACTTGAGCAAAGTCGCGCTGTGTACCATGGACTATTTTGTTGATTATTACTCACATCCAAAGTACCGAGTGTGTAATACAGTGTGTTACTGTGTAAATAGTGTGTGAAACTGTACGTATTGTAATTTTAGTGAATTTTTAACAAGTAATATTATGACAATATAGTAATATTACGAGGCATGAGTTATGAGGACAGACTACGTGAACTGCACCACATGTCGCTGGAAGACAGAAGAGCTAGGGGAGACATGATCACCACATACAAAATTCTCAGGGGAATTGACAGGGTTGACAAGGATGGATTATTTAACACGGGTGGCACACGCACAAGGGGACACAGGTGGAAGCTGAGTACCCAAATGAGCCATAGAGACATTAGAAAGAACTTTTTCAGTGTCAGAGTAGTTAGTAAATGGAATGCACTAGGAAGTGATGTGGTGGAGGCTGACTCCATACACAGTTTCAAATGTAGATATGACAGAGTCCAGTAGGCTAAGGAATCTGTACATCAGTTGATTGACGGTTGAGAGGCGGGACCAAAGAGCCAGAGCTCAACCCCTACAAGCACAATTAGGTGAGTACAGGAGAACCACCAACACCACCTAGGCTAGCCTAACAAGAGGCAGTCTTCCTCCATCCACAAAAGGCAAAAACACAGGAAAAGAAAACTAAAAACCCCCGAGAAAACATCACAAACAAACTGGCAGCCAGAAAGACGCAACAACCGCCCCATTAAATTAGGGCAGGCGGCGCCAATCGCAGTGCCCTCCCTCCCCCAGCCAGCAACACTCCCCCACCTGGGGCAAGACAGAAAACCCAAGACCCCCAGCGTAACTCCCACCCAAAAACAACCTCAATCAACACAGTTCTCTGACGGTGAGTGATTCCCGAATGCCCCAAGGAAGATAACCCTGAAACGCAAGGGTAGTACTTAGGAGCACCTAGGGAAGATCACCCTAGGTACATGCAGCTTTGCATACAATAAGACACCTGGTCAACACACCACACACACTGCTGGTACAGCCACACTTGGCAAATTCCAGAACAGGAATTTGAAGCCAGCGGTGATCAAACTGACCACTAGCACATCTATTAAAGAACTGGAGTGGTGGGCTGCCTGGGGGTGGGGTGGGGTGGGACTTGTTTGGTTTCTTTCTAGGGGAGTCATTTTAATTTTTTAAAGATGTATATTGCACAGGTTAACCAGACAATGGTCCATTTAGATTTGCCTACCTTTCTTGGTAATTCCGAGGTCGATGGGAATTATGACATACTTAAAATGTAAAGTGCTCATAGGCCATTGCTCCCTGCGCCTCTTTGAGGAAGCCCTAGTTTTGGCTCATGGTCTCCAGTAGGTATAAGGACTCCTGTGAGTGATGACCCAAACTAATATAGCACCTATCAGTTTGGTTAGCTTCGAGGAACCGACGTGGCTCCCCCACAGAAAAAAGGAGCCTAGAGGAGAGGCTGGAGTTGTTAAACATACCAGTCTGGAAGGTATGAGGAAAAGAGGTGAAGCACAAAATAGTAACAGGAATAGTAACAAAATAGACAAAAAGGATTTTTTAAGTGGTGCAACTTTAAGAACAAGAGGTCATAGATTCAAGCTACGGAAACAGAGGTGCTGAAAAAATATAATAAAGTTCTTTTGGAAACAGAGTGGTATACCGTTGGAACAAGTTGAGTGAGAAGGCAGTGGATGCCAAAACATCAGTACTTTCAAAGCACCATATGACAAAAAGTATTGGGAAGAAGGGACACCAGGTGCCTACCACTCATCCTGTAACTACACTTAGAAATTACACTTAGGTAATAACACCTATCCACTTTCTCGCTCTCTCACACACACACACATACACACACCCACTGCTACAAACCCAAAAAACCCACTCACCCACATCCACTCATATGTACACTATTTTAAATTTAAATATTCCTGTCATGTATAACTGTCCTGTCTAGAGTCAAACCTATTTATCCAATTTGTTATTAAAGTTATACATATCACATTTTTACATAATATCTCTTTTTTCCATGATTGTAACTAGTATTGTATAAGGGTCCACTGTATATACAGTACTTTATGTACAATGTACAGTATTTACAGTATTTAACAAAATTATTTATTACCTTCAACATAGACAGTAAAGTTTTTCATATAAATTTCCAGTTCATTAAGAGCAAACTGGCATATATATAAGCCAGAGTGTGAAAGCTTGGCATCATTTAGGGTGAGGAGATGAGAATTATCTTTAACTTTAAGGGTGTAGCCCTTAGTCTCAGCTAAGTTGATTTTGCCTTGGGTTAGAAGAGATGACCCTGGGTAATGCCACCAACTGACCTGAAATACAGAAATTAAATTAAACTTACAATTTTCCTTTTAAATCTCATATATGAACTACCTTGCTACTTTTGTCATCATGTTTGTGGTTAAAGGTAAGACGGTTTCATAGTTGTTGAAAGTAAAACCAAAAATGCTCAAAATAAGTACTGTAGAAGCTTGCTAGTCCGAAGCTTGCTAATTTCGAAAATGCCCTAATTTGGCAAAAATTGTGACCAGATAAAGTTATATCCCTACTCGGACAGAATGTCCATAGAAGCCAGACTATTTGATATTTGTCAGGATCAGCGTATACTGATAGAGTTTGAAGCTTAAAAATCTCTCTAAAACCAAGGGATGACTTGCCGCAGAACATGTGCGGCAAGTCATATAACGTGAACCTTTATGTGAATGTTATATGTGACGTTTTATATGTGAAGTGTTATATGTGAAGTGTTATATGTGAAGTGTTATATGTGAAATGTTATATGTGAAGTGTTATATGTGAAATGTTATATGTGAAGTGTTATATGTAAATGTTATATGTGAAGTCATATCCTCGCTCCTCACTCTACGCTGTATTTCAGCCCTCAAACTATCCCCAGATGATGTAGACCACCACCCACAGGCAGCTAACTACATGGAGTCCAAGCATGTCATAGCACATTCAAAGTAACCAACCCAAATCTACTCATTCCATCTCAAACAAAATTCAAAACAATCCTCTCTGGCTGTGAGTACCAGTGCCTGCTGCCCGCCTCTGCCCACCACCGCGCTGCCTGACGCAAGTTTCCGCCACAACTTATACTCCAGTCCATTCTCGACCTATCATGTCTCCCAGAAACAGGACTGCGCAGGTAAATAAGAGCAACAAAGCCCCTAATAAGGCATCCATCCTGACAAACAGTGACAGCCATCGTGTTTCTCCCTCTGGAAGCTCTGGGGCCTGTGGCAGCGGTGCTGCTCTCCCCTCCACCCCATTGAGCCAGGGAGCTGTGTCCTCTCAATCCTCTCCTAATTCCATGCTTACATCCCAGTTTACGAAATTCAAGCGTGCTTCTGGTCCCTCACTGGATTTCCCTAACTGAGCCGAGAATCAGTGGTTCAAAAAGTTGTGCCTAATCCTTGAGGCTCAAAATACGATCATCCTGAGTCTTCAAACTGAGAATCAAGCGAACCGCGCAAACAACAAGAAATAACCCTCCTCCGCGAGGATATTAGAAACTTTAAGGCTAGCCAAGATCAACTCCAGCATGACTGTTGTTGTGTCGTCCCAAGATATTCCTGTGGAAAGTGAAGGTGAAAAGTGTATTGAAATAGTTCAGGCTCTCATAAAAAACAAATTGCGTGTCATTCTAAAAACAGACATTATTGCTGCCTACAGAGTAGGCAAAAAGAATCCATCAGGACAAAACCAGCGGAAAATTCACCTCAAGCTGGCTTCCCAGTCCATGAAATCACATCTTGTCCGGACAGCTGCATCCCACCGACAGGGAATCTACATCAACGAGTGCTTGACTAGATAAAGACAGCAACTCCTCTACCGCCTGCATCAAGTCTGTTATCAAAACCCAGATGCGATTCATCAGTGCTTCGTTAGAGATGGCATGATTAAAGTGAGAAAGACTTCAGGAGGTAAAATGTTTACAATTGCTAATGGGGATAACCTCAACACTTTCCTCTCCCAATGTGGTTTGTCTCACCTTATTATCAGTCTCAGTAAGTCAACATACAGTAATTAACCCCCTTGTCACCTAGTGCGGGCTAGGTATCCTAAGTCTCTTTGTTACACTTTTTAAATTAATTTTTAATTTACTTTTTACTAGTCATTTATTGGACTTAATTAATTGAGTGCATTAATAATTTCTTTAGTTCTTATTAATTATACGATCATAACTAAACTATTTATAGTTAATAATTATTAGCTTAAATTTGCCTATGTTTATTATTCAACTTTTTTCTTTGATTTCATTTATTACCTAGGTTGCCTAGCCTCGCCATACTCCCTTACTCCATTGTACCCCTGGCTTTGCCTGTGCCTCAAAATGCAAATTATTACTTACAGTGTACCTCAGAGTACTTGTAAGCAATCTACCTCATTTTTCTTTTTTTTTGTTCATTTTGTGTTTGTTTTGTATAGTCCTGTTTATATCCCCCCCCCCCTTTTATATCAAAATTTTATTTTGTAATTTCCATTCTTGCCTTGTTTTCCTACAACCAGCCTTTTTATGCAGACAAATATAGACCCAGAACTAAGCCTCTTATCCACTATCTATGACAATCATCACTTTAATGATCAAAATTGCAGATATTTTACAGCACATGATATAAACAATGTATTAATACATAATCACAATATCTCTGTAATCAACTTGAACGTTAGATCTCTAAGTAAACACTTCGATGATGTTAGTGCCTTGATTGAAACTATTGACAACAAATTCTCTTTTATTATACTTACTGAAACGTGGTTAAAAGAGGATACTACTCAACTCTTTAACATGCCTAACTACTCAGTAATTCACAACTGTCATCAAATTCAGAGAGGTGGTGGTACTGCTCTTTACTACCACCAAGAACTAACATGCTTAAAAGTAATTAGAACTAGAGACTGCTGTGGGGAGTATATCTTTGCCAGTTTCAGAGTCAAGGGTGCTGAGTCTGTCCTGTCTGTGGGTGCAGTCTATAGAATTCCTAACACTGATGTGTTCGAATTCAACTCAAACCTTAGAAATCTAATACTAGATAACAGACTCAACAAAATTATTATCTCATCTAATTATCACAGGGGACTTTAATATTGACCTCTGCGAGCCTGTAAACCCTACTGCTGCCAGCTTCCTTAACAGTATGTTTCCTGCTTCCTCATACCCTTAATCACAAGACCTACTAGAATCACTGATAGTACTGCCACGACTCTAGATCACATCTGGACCAACATAACCTCTCCGCTAACTTCAGGTATAATCATCGATAGCACTACAGACCAGTACCCCACATTTCTCTTAACTAACATTAACAAACCACCTCTAGAGACAAGGGAGTTAAGCTTTAGGCTGCACAATGAAACTGCTATAGACAATTTTATAGCTGCTGCTGCTAATATCAACTGGGAGTCTGAGTTAGGTCACAAAAGGACATCAACCTAGCAGTGCAATCTTTTCTTCAAAAAACTCTCAGCCTTTATAACACCCACTGTCCTATGCTAACGAAACAAGTCACAACCAAAAGGCTAAACAAGCCTTGGCGTACAAAGGGAATACTTAAATCCATTAATAAAAAACATGACCTTGAAAAGAAGTATAGGTTAGGAACTGTCTCCAAAGAATTCTCAAAGAATTACTCATTATTGCTATCTAAACCTTTCCAGATATTCTAAAAAAAGCGAGAGTAACCCCTGTCCACAAATGTGGTGATCTCACTGATGTTAACAACTACAGACCTATATCAATCCTGCCTAACTTGTCAAAAATATTTGAAAAACTAATCTACAAGCAGCTTTACTCTTATCTAGCCAAACACAATATATTTAGCCCTTGCCAATATGGCTTCAGACCCAAAAAAAGCACTAACAATGCACTTATTAGTATGCTTAACTCGATTCATGCAGCCCTTGATAAAAATGAGTTCCCTGTTGGGTTATTTGTGGACCTGCGTAAAGCTTTTGACACTGTCAACCACCAAAACCTTCTTAAATTACATCATTATGGAGTCAGAGGACACTCCCTGCAATACCTCAAATCCTACCTTACTGACAGGCTCCAGTATGTTTCTGTGAATAATACAATTTCTCCCACCCTACCCATCAACATTGGTGTTCCTCAGGGCAGCATACTTGGCCCTCTCCTCTTTCTCATCTACATTAATGACCTTCCAAATGCCTCCCAACACCTTAAACCAATTCTATTTGCTGACGACACAACCTTCATTTACTCCAGTCCTGACCCCCTTGCTCTAAATGCCACAGTAAATACTGAGCTAAATAAAGTCCATCTTTGGCTAACTGCCAACAAACTCACCCTTAGCATTGACAAAACTTTTTATATTCTGTTTGGCAGTAAATCCTCTAATCAAATCAAAATAAACAATACCCAAATTTGTAACAAATTAGATGGCAAATTCCTTGGCATTCTCATTGACCACAAGCTGAATTTCCAGGGACACATTCTAAATATATCAAAAAAAGTTTCAAAAACTGTGGGCATTCTTTCTAAGATCAGATATTATGTACCACGCCCTGCCCTGGTGACTCTCTATTACTCCCTTATCTATCCATATCTCAACTATGGTATTTGTGCTTGGGGCTCTACTACCCAAAATCACTTATGTCCTCTAATTACTCAACACAAAGCTGCTATTAGGACAATATCCAACTCTGGCCCCAGACATCACTCGGTACCCCTACTCAAATCTCTGAATATGTTAGACGTTAAGTCACTGCACATTCTCTCATGTGTATTATACATATATAAAACGCTAAACTGTAATGCCAATCCTGACCTCAAAAGCTTCATAGAAGGTTGTAACAGAACCCATGAGCACTACACCAGAAATAAATTCAGTTTTGATATTCCTAGAGTACGACTTAATCAAACTAGAAATGCTCTACAAATCAAGGGGCCCAGAATGTGGAATGACCTTCCCTACCATGTTAAAGACTGTACCTCTCTCAACCAGTTTAAGATAAAAACGAAGCTATACCTAATAAATTCCCTGTAACGTACCTTACCCTTCTATTGTCAACCAATGTCTGTTTTTTAAAGAGCGCTGTTTGTCAACATAATTGTATTTGTGCTGCTTTTTCAGCTATGTTTTCATTTCTTGTTTTCATTCTACTCTTTATGCTCAATTAGTATTAAGCTTGTCATTTAAGTTTTTCATGCCCGAAACGCTTTGCGTAATAGTGGCTTTAGGCATTGTATGTACTAGCTCTACCTATAAGTCAACCAATCTTTGTAAAAATTTGTTGTATGTATGTACCTTACCTAAATAAACATTTATTTATTTATTTATTTATTTATTTATTTATTTATTTATTTATTTATTTATTTATTTTATTATATTTTCAGGGAGAGATTCCTCACTGGCTCCCTGGTGCTACCTCACTATGGAAATAAAAACGTGGGATTACCCTTACCACCAACACCCTGTATGAGGATGGGAAAACACTCCAAACATCCAACTCTGAATAGCAACCCAAGGTATACTGGAAACGACAGAAGATAGAGCCAAAAACAAATGAACATCATGAGCCTGCAGGTAGATCACAGGTAGACTCAGCAAAAGAACACTGTAGATGACCCGAGACAAACTGGACATGGAATAAGGACGAAGGGCACTGGATATACAAAAAAGTGTTACCCAGAGCATCCCAAGGGTCGTGTAAATAACAATGGACTGTTGTAACTGGGCACAACAAATGAAGCAGCCCTGGCTGAACAAACCAAGAGTCAACAAACAATAGCTACCTCAAGAAGCCAACTGTCCCAATCTTAGCCAGATTGGGGTATAGAGATTTACAGAGTGGGTCCATTAGAAAAGGCTATTCAATTACATTCAATTTGATTTCTGAGAGGGCCCCCTCAGTAGCTCCCTGAGCTAACTCACAATGGAGCATCAGCAAAAAGTAAAAGGCTTTTCTGTAAGGAACACAAAAGATTAAAAATACAAAAAAGATGAGCTGGGCTTACTCCTGGAAGAAGACAGCAGGAGAGGAGAATCTGGGGCAGAAGAACATTAGCCCTGTACCAGCCAATGCATTGGCAAAGAATTATAGACCAGTTACACTAACATCGCACATCATAAAAGTATTTGAGAGAGTGATTAGGAGTCAGGCCACCAATTTCATGGAGACCAATGACCTTCACAACCCAGGCCAACATGGATTTCGAGCGGGAAGATCGTGCCTCTCACAGCTACTTGAGCACTATGACAAAGTCACTGAAGCATTAGAAGAAATACAGAATGCTGATGTGATATACACGGACTTCGCAAAGGCTTTCGATAAATGTGACCATGGCGTGATAGCACACAAAATGAAGTCAATGGGAATAACCGGTAAAGTAGGACGCTGGATACTCAGTTTTCTGTCAAACAGGACTCAGCGAGTAACGGTCAACTATATAAAATCTAGTCCAAGTGCTGTTAAAAGCTCTGTACCTCAGGGTACAGTCCTTGCACCGCTGCTTTTCCTTATTCTCATATCAGATATAGACAAAAATACAAGTCACAGCTTCGTATCATCCTTTGCAGATGACACAAAAATCAGTATGTAAATTATCTCGGCTGAAGACACTGAAAAACTTCAAGCTGATATTAATAAAGTTTTCGACTGGGCATCAGAAAATAACATGATGTTTAACAATGATAAATTCCAGGTACTCAGGTACGGTAAAAATGAGGACCTTAAACATAATACAGAGTACAAAACACAATCAAATGTACCCATAGTAGGAAAACAGCATGTAAAGGATTTGGGAATAATAATATCTGACGACCTAACGTTTAAGGAGCATAACCAAGCAAATATTGCGACAGCCAGAAATATGATAGGATGGATTACGAGAACTTTCAAATCCAGGGATCCCATCACAATGGTTGTACTCTTCAAGTCACTTGTGTTGTCCCGTCTTGAGTACTGCTCAGTACTCACTTCCCCCTTCAGAGCAGGAGAGATTGCTGAAATAGAGGGAATACAGAGAACATATACGGCATGCTTAGAAACAATAAAGCACCTAAATTATTGGGATCGTCTTAAAGCCCTCTAAATGTACTCACTAGAAAGAAGACGAGAGAGATATCAAATAATATTCACCTGGAAGATACTGGAGGGCCAAGTACCAAATCTACACAGTAAAATAACAAGGTACTGGAGTGAACGATATAGAAGAAAATGCAAAATAGAACCAGTGAAGAGCAGAGGTGCCATAGGCACAATCAGAGAACACTGTATAAACATCAGAGGTCCGCAGTTGTTCAACGTCCTCCCAGCAAGCATAAGAAATATTGCCGGAACAACCATGGACATCTTCAAGAGGAAACTAGATTTATTCCTCCAAGGAGTGCCGGACCAACCGGGCTGTGGTGGGTATGTGGCCCTGCAGGCCGCTCCAAGCAACAGCCTAGTGGACCAAACTCTCACAAGTCAAGCCTGGCCTCGGGCCAGGCTTGGGGAGTAGAAGAACTCCCAGAACCCCGTCAACCAGGTATCAACCAGCCATGCAAGTGCCACACAAGTGCAGTTTGGCCGAGAGATATGGAATGAATCCATATGGGAATGAATCACTGGCTGGCTATGCTCAACATTTTCCCAGATGATCATGGAGAGAGTTCTTAGAACAAGGAATGAGAGGCAGGGTTGATAAAATATTGATTCAAATAGCATGAGTAGTTTGTAAATGACACTGTAACTAAAAAAGTAATTGCTTATTTTGTTGTACCTCTTCTTTCTGGAGGGTCTTTTCTTGGTTTTGGGTTGATCTCTGATTTGCAAGCTCCCCTCATAGATAGCACCAGATTCTGTTTGTGGCTCTCTATAGGCAAGGCTGGGGGTTATCTAAGGCTTGACAGTGTATGGTATAAGAGCTTAAATGTGGGGAGCTACTGAGGGAAAGGAGGGGCCCTCCTAGAAATTAGTTTTTATTAAAACTTGAAAATCTTTTCCAGACAAAAGATTTTTGCTTTGTTGCAGTCCTAATGAATTCTGAAAAGCATGTCATTATTTCTATATTGAATGATATTTATACAAGAAAAATCTACTGTTATGATATAATAAATTAGGTAATTAAATTGAAAAGTGTGTGAGTATCAATAAATTTAAGACTAGGAAGGACTGACTGTGGTGTTGCAACAGTTAATCCAGCTTACCAAGGTAGAGGGTAAACTGCTATTGAGGGAACACTGCAGTGTCGCAGACTGTCCTTCATCAACATATAACCTAGTAGTTGTCTCCTCAAAGTATTCCTTCGTAACTGAAACAGGGAATAGGAAGGTTCATTAATATATACAGTACTAAGGGTTATCCCAACAAAAACTATAATTACTATAAGTTTACTTTTTAGTCTTGTGCTTCAAAGGCAAAGCTTATAAATTAAATCCTATGCTGAGATAAACAATATAAGACACATACTAAAGATAATAAAAATGTGGGAATTGTTTTGAAGATGTAACATTGATAATATTCAGTGGTGGCATGTGGAAGAAACATTCCCAGATGTAGCACCAGTAGATCCTAAACTGTCATACAGCATGAAACCTCTATTTTTATCTCATTTTAATGAAAATGTTCAAAATTCAGTTATAAATATATTGAACATAAAAACTTTTGTTATGACACATTTCCCAGTTGCTTATTATTCTAGTGTGAGGTAGATGGAGTCATACACCTGCTAGTGTGTGTCTCTCTGGGGGACTGAAGATCAGCAGCTCCTAAGGATGAGCCACCACTGATAATATTTCAATACATATTGCTAATTTAACACTATCGGTCACCGGACAGGCGCGCTGTCAACTTAGGGGTCATGCACCCGATGTGCGGGCGAGCGTGCGGGTAAGTGCGCGGTGACACCTAAATGTGTATACTCGTTTCAGCTTTCTCACCTTAATTCTCATGCTACGTCGCTCGTTTTGGTATCATTGTGTTTGCAATTAAATTCCCTACAGGTGTGTATAAATATAATGTCCAAAAGCCTGGCATGACTCCCAACAGCAAAGCCTAAAGTCGGCAAAAGTTACCCGTGAGCGCACAAAACCAGTAAAATGCACATACTCGTTCCATTTTTCTCACCTTAATTCTTGTGCTATGTCACTCGTTTTGGTATCATTGTGCTCGCAATTAAATTCCCTACAGATGTGTACGAATATAATGTACAAAAGTTTGGAGTGCCTCCCCGCAGAAAAGCCTAAAGTTACCCCGTGAACGAGCACCAATTTGTACACTGCAACCTAATATGTATACTCGTTCAGTTTGATAACATCAATTTTCATGTTACATCTTTCATTTTGGTATCAAATTGTTTGCATTAAAAAGGTGCGTATTTTAAAACTAGTCCCATAATAATAGAGCAATAACTGGAATTTTAACAAATATTTTAATTCTGGAAGCTCATCATCACAAAATTATTTATATCTTTCCAGTGTTCTGACATAAATTTTTGTGTTACATCTTTCATTTTGGTATCAAATTGTTTGCGACATAAAGGCGCGCATTTTAAAACTAGTCCCATCATAATAGCACAATAAATAGAATTTTAACAAATATTTTAAAATTTTGACCAAAAGCCTATTTATAATCATATAAGTGTTCGGACATCAAGTTTCATGTTACATCTTTCATTTTGGTATCAAATTGTGCGCTTTCTAAAGGCTTATTTTGATACTATTCCTAGGTTGATTGGATAAAAAATGAATTTCATACAAATATTTTTGTAGTGGATGCAACTCCGGTCCAAAGTTAGGACTCAGGAGAAAAATAATGGATGCGAGTCCAGTCCAAAGTGACCAATAGTGTTAATAGAAAGTAGTAGAGTTCTCTAAATTTTCAGAGTGAGAGTAACATATCCTCCTGCCTCTTAACCATTAAACTGCGCAACACGTCATATCAACACACAACACAACACGTCACAACACAACAACACTTTATGTTCGTCTCCAAAGAACTTTCAAAGAATTACTCATCATTACTATCTAAAATATTAGAAGAGCCAAAATTAAATACTACGAAGATAAATTTACTCAAACAAAGGGAAACATCAAGAAAACATGAAGCACAATTTCACAAATACTGTATTGGGATCAAAAAAGATTTTAAATAACAAACCAATAATCCTGTCCAATAACAATAACTCTTGCTCTAAATGTCGCTGTGAATACTGAACTAAATAAAGTCCATCTTTGGCTAACTGCTAACAAACTCACCCTTAACATTGGCAAAACTTTCTATATTTTGTTTGGTAATAAATCCTCAAGTGACATTAATTTGAGAATAAGCAATATACAAATCAATAGTAAAGTTGATGGTAAATTCCTTGGTGTCCTCATCGATAACAAGCTGAATTTCCAGGGACACATTGTAAATATAGCAAAAAAAAAAAAAAACAGCGTTGAATGTAATGAAACGCCATTTTCTGGGTGAGCCCCTGAGGCTCCCTGGAGCTTATCGGGCTAATGTATGTTATGTTAGACCGGGACATTAGTTATGGAGTTCAGACCTACCATGGACCAGCGCCAGAACCTGGCTCCTTCAGAGAGGTTTCAGGGAGCAATGGCCCTGGAAAACCCAATATGGTTGGGGTTTTTCCTTATCTGCCATCGACCGGGGTCAGGCACCCAGAAAGGTAGGCATAACAAAACAAACCCCACATGGTAAAAACTACAACAAAAAACCAAACAGAGAGGTAGAACTCCCTACAATCCCAAAGAACAATCAAACAATCAATTTACTGCTGCGCCAGTCATCCGTGCAGCCCCCCCCCCCCCTGGAGGGGGAGGGGGGGAACCCCGGACCTCACCGCACCGGCTGCCTTCAGTTCGGAAACTAGGCTTCAACCAACACGAAAAACCACGCCGATCGGGTGGGAGGGAGGGTAGCCAGGGAGCCTCTGGGGCTCACCCAGAAAATGGCGTTTCATTACATTCAACGCTGGTTTTCTGTGGGGAGCCCCTACGGCTCCCTGGAGCTACATACCCAAAGAGAAGGAATTAGGGACTTACCCGGGAGGTGGCGGCCACAAACTCCTCAATGTGAATTCAGGACAACTGGCTGCAACCTGCAACCCAAAGCAACGCAAGAATGCCAAGGAGCAGGGACATTTACCAAATAACGGGCGGCCAGGACCCTGTTCGACTTCCAAAACCCATGCGCCCGAATATGAGCCCAAGACATGTTACCAAACACGGCAGCCAAAGCTGCAAACTTCCGAACGTCATGGGCGCGAGGATAGACCGCAGGCTGGCTAGACTTAATAACCCTGCGGACAACCTGGGAGACCCGAGGCCTGGAACAGGGAACGAGGGAAACCGGATCAACCCAAAGAGCATCCTCAGCCACCCCAGCTGAAGCGCGCAGGTAATGGTGAAGTGCTGCAACCGGACACAACACTTGATGCACCCCCGGCTGAACCAACCAAGCATCAATGACCCACGAACCCCCGGAAAGCAACCATCTCGTTCTTCGCCAGAAAAGATGGAGATGGCTGCAAACGGACAAACCTACCCCCAGGACCAAAAGAGCAGAAACCCCTGCGCCGGAGGAGAGCATGAAGCTCCCCTACCCAGCCCCCAGAGGCCAATGCCAACAAAAACAAAGCCTTGGAAAAACAATCCAGAACCGAAGGGGCCACCACAAACCAAGGAGAGGAAAGATATGAGAGCACCCTGTTCAAGCACCAGTACAGCTCAGGAGGAGCATGAGTAGGCCGGAGGTGAAACATAGCACAGGAAAGCTTATAAAACGGGGCGGATGTGACGTCCACCATGAACGCTAGCTTGAGCGGCTCCGCCAGCGCCATACAATACGAGGCGACAGTATTAGGCATCAAATGACGGTCCTGAAAAAGCCAAGAAAGAAAGGACAAGGCAACCCAATCCGAAAGAAGAGACAACCTACGAAGAGCCACAAAATGGCAAAAAGAACGCCAGGAAACTTCATACTGTCGCCGAGATGTAGCTCGCAGGTAGGACACCATCAACGAAGCCACCTGATCACCATAGAAATGGTGATACACCCGCATCAAAAAGACCTGACATGAAGAGCAGAGGAGAAGTTCGAACCATCCCTCTACTGGACCGGGCCGACCTCCTGAAAGAGGCGGAGATGCGGGAAACATCCCGGGTTCGGGCACCGAGTCAAGAGCATCGGAAACCAAGGCTGGGCCGGCCACCAAGGGGCCACAAGGACTACTCTCCCTGGGAATGTCTCCAACCGAACCAGAACCCGAAGCAACAGCTGGACCGGGGGAAAGAGGCACAGGTAACCCCACCTCGACCAGTCCTGCTGAAAGGCATCCACTGCGAACGCTTCGCAGTCGGGGAAGGGCGTCACATATATTGGGAGACGCCGAGACCACGCCGACGCGAAGAGGTCCACATCTGGGAGACCGTACGTTTGGCAGATCCAATGAAACGAGTCATCGTCGACCGTTCACTCCATGGACAGGGAATGGAAGCGTGACAGACTGTCCGCCAGAATGTTGGACACTCCCCGGACATGAACTGCATGGAGAGCCAAACCCCGAGAATCCAGCAGACGAACCACTCAAAGAGACTAACCCCCAAAGAGCCAAGGACCAAAGAGAACCCCCACGGTTCAGGCAATGAACCACAAAACAGTCCGAATGGAGACGAATGGTTGAGATCTGAGCGACCCGAACCCTCCGAAGCGCAAGCCAGACTGCCGCAAACTCCCGAACCGTGCTGTGAGCCCGACGGAAGAACGGACCCCACCGTCCCTGGCCTGCCTGGTGAGCACTGGTCACAAAGCCCCAGCCGAGAGATGACGCATCCATGAACACATCGAGCGATGGCTCGATGTGTTCACTGCTTCCAATCACACGGGGGTGTCTTGTGCCCTCAATTCCTGGTCCCTACAACACAAGCGACAAACCACTTTCAACTTCGCACAAAGTGAGAGTGGACTTGGAAGATGCATCCATGGTACCACCAAGTCCACAGGAATTTGTCAGGGCCCGTAGCATGAATAAGCCCTACAGGAAGCCCAGGCACTGGGGTCAGCTAAACTAGTAGAACCCTTTCTGTAACTAAGCAAACTGATGACCAGTAGCAGCCGTTGTAAGAGAGAGACCCTTGTGTAGGGGAGAAATAGCAGTGCTATTGAGAGAGACCCTTGTAAAGGGAGAAATAGCAGTGTATTATGTAAGAGAGAGACCCTTGTGTAGGGAGAAATAACAATGTTATATGTTGAAAAAACAGTCTGGAACTCTGACCCCTTTCAGATGCACAGAGCATCATTTCA